CCCGGTCTGTCTCGCGTTCATAGTTGGTGATGCAAAGTCGCCGTGTCTTCACCTCTCCTCATCCGCATTTGCCTGCGCCTGCACGGCACACAGCAGGTTATAGATGTCCTCCGCAGAGTCACACGACAAAGCCGGGGAGGTGCCGCGCATCGCGCCACACGCGGCGCCGCCTCCTTCCTTGCCGCCAGCAGCACACAGAGAGAGAAGCAAGAGCCAACACACAAGCAATACCCAAAGTACGGCAAGCGCCACGTACATACACAATCACCGTTAAACACAAATCCAAAAGATGAAAGGACACCCCAACGGAGGAAAAATGGCTCACAGGTGCAACCTAGCAGCAAAAAACACCGGCGGCCCACGCACCGAAATACTGACGCTTAAACCACGATAAACACTCAGGCCTCAAAACAAAAAATAATAATAAAGAATAGATAAAATGCAATATAAAGAAGAGTGGACACTACCTAGACACGAAGGTGAGGGAGTCGCACCGCCTGTGGAGAATGGCGGCCCCCTGTTCGTCGTACTCCGCCTTCGTCACCCACTCTGAGGCAAAAGAGGTCAAGCTGGCGAGAATTGCAGCGCCTATCCACACACTAAACTTTCGCTCGTTCGCCGCCACCACGCGGACGTCTTCGGCCGCACGTTTGTTTGCCAAGGCTGCCAGCTCTGACTGCAAGCGCTGCTGCATTCCTTTAAACATCGTGTTGCCGCCGGACAGAACGACACTGCCAAGAAGCCGGCGGCGCAAATCGATAGGGCAGGAGTTGACACAATTCATTATGGTGCATGGAATGCCCTCATACGGCCTCTCAGCCAATGCCGGGTTGAAGAGAAGTTCAGGGCAACAAAACCGCGAGCGGCCAACATGAATCACCTCACCATCTGGTAGCGTGAACGGTTCACCTTTTTTTCCACACTCGTCGCCGGCCTCCGCCTCTGCCGCCGCTAGTTCCTCTTCTAAGGAAAACGATATGTAGCAGAGACGCTCCTTCACTTGCCGCACCACCTCACGGTCGGTGGAGGTCGTGAAGGGGCGGCCAAGCTCGTCGCTAAGTAGCTCCATCATCCACTCTGTCAGATCACGACCAGCAAGTTCCAGTCGGCGCACCGATTGCGGCATCGTCTGACCTTCAAATATGGGCACGAGGTGCGTTACACCGTCGCCGCTGTCCAATACAAGCCCGTCGGTGCGGCCAGCGGAGTACAGCGTGAGCACTGCCTGAATTTGCACGTGAAGCGCCGGCACGCCAAAGGACTCAAAGAGAACCTCCGCCATCTTCTCACGGTTGGCGGTAGGATTCAGCGGCGCCTCCGTCAACAGCACGGCCTGGCGCTCCGCCGGCACACGCAGCTGCTCATACGCATGTCGCCAGACACGCTCCATCTGATCCCAGTCAAGAACAATGCCGTGCTCAATTGGATAAAAATAACACAGTCCCTTCTCCTGCAAGGCTTCGTCCCCCACATATACGCGTGGGTTGTTGCTCCTGTTCCTCGTTGGGGCTCCAACGACACTTGGGAACACGCATCGCGGGACCTCCTCCCAAGCGAAGCCGCACTTGATGTTTCCGCTCCCATTGTCAAGCACCACCGCCGGCTCCTCACCCCATGCTGCTGCCTCCATCTACTAGTACACCGCAGGTGTGGCAGTCCAAGGTTGCGCGTGCCCGTGTGAGTTGGTGTAGCACAAGGAAGAAAATGCGCCAAAGGAAGAGACGGAAACAAATTTTAATAACCTCAAAAAAAAAACCAAAAAAAAATAGTGCGTATGTGCTCGCTCCATTGACAGCAACGACAACAATGCCACAACACATAATTCCACTATCTATGGGTAACAGCCACTCTTCTCATCCTCTTCGGTGTCATTACTCACCTATGCATTTGAGGCGCGCCAAACATCCTCGAGGACGCGGTGTGCAGCCTCGTGGCAAGATGAAAAGGCTTCGCTGATTGGCTTTGATCGCTGCTGCCGTAGCAGGGTCGCCACCAATTCCCCCTCGCAGCCCGTCAAATCTCCTTCCATCAGCAGCATCTCCTGCAGCACCGCCTCGCATGCAACCCCCTTCACCTTGTGAGTCGCCCTAGTGTAGAAGACTGTCATGTGTGGCGCCCCATGCACATCGTCTGCCTGTGGGCCTTCCTCGGCCTCATCCTCCTCGAAGAGCAACGAGTACGGAAAGGTCATCATGTGAGACGCGAACACGGGTGCGTCGTCCCCGTCGCGGGCCTCCAACCGAGGACCTCGGTGAAACAATCCACCACCTCCATCTCGCACTTCAAACGAAGCCGGTGCACGGGGGCCCGCCCCAATAGACGAAAATCCCTGCAGGAACTTTGTTGGGTCCGCCTCACGGGTGTAGTGACTGTGGCTGCTGTTGCTGCCCTCAGTGCAGCTCACGAGATTTAGACTGAATGTGCTGCGCCAGCAGTGGTAAAACCGGCCGACGCAGTAGCGTCCTGTCTCCCCCGCATTCTCAGTGCCGCTGGAGAGAATCGAAAAAAGGGCATAATGTCCCAATTCACTACCCTTGTTGCAGGCATTTGCCTCCGCCTTGACAACGTGGCTGGAGGCAACACACCATGCCACATCCAGAGGAAGGTCAACGGTGTCTCTGTGCCACACAAAAGAAGTGGAGGAGGATGCCGCCTTCTTTCCACGTCGCCCAAACAGCGAAAAGCAGTCGCAAGACCCCTGCAGCCTCGATGGCAAACCTTCACTGGGTGTGCCGTTTTTACCCAGAAGAACCGTTTTGGGTGTTTCCTCTTCTAGTCTATTCATTTCGTAGAGAAGGCTATGAAACCACGGTGTAGGGTAAATCGATGCCGTGCACAGTAACAGGTGCGGGGCGAACTCTTGCGCTGCTTCTTTCCACGTGTGCTCTGCACCGCTCTTATCTTCCCCCGCATCCAGCGTTAGTGCGGTCCGCGATGTCCTAAGGTGCTCGTTTACAAACTGCAGGATTCTCGCGGCATCCCACAATGTTCCCTCTCCCGCCGTACGGAAGGCAAACACACAGCACACGGCGTTGCCGACGCCCAGAAAGAGGAGGTGCAGCACCACCTCGTCCTTCCCGCATTTCAGCAAGAGCTCAGATACGTGCACCAGTGGAACCTGCTCGCATGGACGATCCTCGGTGGGCCAACGACTCAACTGGTCAACCGCCACCGCCCCAATCAAAAGTCTACCACAATGGTCCATTAGTTTAAAAAACGAAGGCGAGGCACAGAGGAGGCCACCCGTAGAAAATACTGCAACGAATGGAAGCTGTTCAAACTTCTCACTCCAGAGCGAGTGACGCCGCGTGGTACCCTCCTTCACCTCGAAGGCTGCCGCAAGTGTGCGGTCAATGACGTCTACCAGACACTTGCAAGCATGCGCGGCAGCGGCTTCAAGTGATTGAAGGTCCTTGTAACCATTATGTGAGTTTCCGGCAACGCTGGCAACGCATCCGTGTGACTTCACACCAGACACCCGGCAATAGAGAAGACTAATGGGAACAACGTCCTGAGCAACAAAAAAAAGCAACGCCTTGCGTCGCAAAAATGCAGAGGGGTGCATCGCCGCACACCGCGCCTTCGTGGAAGGCATCTCTTCTGAGGCACGCCAATCGCTCACACGTCGTTCCTCCCAGCGTGACGCATGCGCGGTTGGCAGGCCGTCGTACTCCATCGTCTCATCTGCCGCGGTGAGAGCCCAATTCGCTGACGTGCAGAGCGCATCAAAAATAAGGCGTGTGCCACTGTAGTTTGTGCGTCGAATGGTCTCTAGGGCGTAATCGAGCACAACCATCAACTCCTCTCGTGAGGCGGCCGGGCCACCCACGGCTATGGTCACCTCGTCCAGCTTCCCACCCACCTTCTCGCGCTGCACCAGCACAAGAACCTCCTCCATGAAACACAGACCACCGTCACTGTCGGCACCCTTCGCCAGAGGCACGGTGCAGCTACGAAAGCAGTGGAAAGAGCGTGCGTGGACAGGGTAGTCAAACAACTTGTCGATCCCTTCTATACGGGGTGGTGGGCTGAACGACGGCGCCATGACCCTCAGACCGTTTGCCGCCTCCAACCTAATCCATGTCATCCTTCTCCCTCTCCCCGCTTCAGAGAAAGGGCCAAAAAGAGCCCGCATGCAAGGAGGAAAAAATAAAAAATGTATCATTCATAGATGGTATGCAAGAAAACAAAACTTCCGCCTGTTCAGAGTTCATATGTGTTTACTGCTTTCTTCTAACAGCTTCCTCTGAGGCAAAGAGGCAGGGGCCTTGGCGTTGCTCAGATAAAATCTTACAAAAAACCCTGCGGCCGTTGCACCTGTACAGCGTGTTGCATAAACATATCCCTGTAGGTGCACAAGCAGTCCCAAAAAAAAAAAAAGAGGTACAGGAAAAACTCTACTCCCCCCTTAGCCTCCATCTACCCCGCTAGTCCACACGCACAAAACGCACTGAGAGCTGAGCGTGAAAGCTGAGAGTCACCGTGTAAAAAAAAAGCAAGAAAGTACATATCGAAGTAATTTGAGGCACCGCTGTAATCCCGCCACCGGCCATCCAACCAATCGCAGCATATCTTTGGCAAAGAACAGTGCACATCTTTTTTACGTTGCTGTTGCTTTTTTCATATTTTCATTTACCGCCCTCCATTTACTCTCGTTTGCCTGTCCACCACTCCCCTAACCGTTATGGCGGCGCGTGCGTGTGCCTCCGCACGCAGGTTGGCGTCTAGCACATACGCAAAATCAGTAAACATACGGAATGAGACGATATCGGACAATACTGCAGAACTTTTTCCAGTCCGCCTCACCGTACTTTTCAGCCATCTGACGCTCATCCCGCAATTGGCGGTGCATGAGAAGAACGGCGAAGTACACCGGCTGATAATACGGCAAAAGTGCCATCGTGCCCGTCAGCGCAGACCAGGAAAGAGTCATTAGCCAGTCCCCCACGTAGTTGGGGTGGCGACATATGCCCCAATAGCCAGAGATAATGAGCGACTTCCCGCGCGCGGTCCTCATCACCTTCACCTTTGACACCGCCTTGTCACGCGGGTTCTGACGAAACTTATTCTTCTGAGAGTTTGACCCACGAAAGATGACGTAGCCGACCACAGCCACCAGACAGACGCATGCCATATACCCGTAGCTCAGCTTCACAGGGTGATACGCCAAGAACTTGGTTTTGAGCGTGTAGGTAAATGGCACCCACGTGAGATCGCCAAAGCACAACATGAAGCCAAACCCGTCGTGCACAATATCCATCATTGTCAGGTTCCCCGCCTCGAGTAAAAGTCCATCAAAGACGTAAAGCGACTCCATCAGGGCTATGACAACGATGCTGGGAGTGCACGTGCCAGCTTCCACAGATTTGGCTACAAAGGCCCAATTCAGAAGACTCCACCCAATAAGACCTGGGCGAAGTTCACACATCAATTTCCAGTCAAGTGAACCAGTTCGAGGGTTAAGTTCGTGCCCCATCCAAAAGTCGTATACGTGACTCCCCGTGTTGCCTCCCTCAGAAAGCAACACAGTCGATGCCCGAAAGGATGCGGTGTAGAGCACAATACTCATGGTCGTGGAGATTATAATTGAGGCAATCATAAGCGACACAAACATCTCCGCCAGAACCGCCAGACGAACAATGCCCTGGTAGTGAAGGACACCCACAACAAGGTGGGTTAAAAGAAACGCATGTACAGCATTCATGTTGTACACGAGGGTTTCCCCGTTACGCAGCTTCGTCCCCTTCACCCGCGCTCCAAAAGGAGCAACGTAGAGCAGTGCATGCAGCAGCATCCACGCCAATTCAAGCCCAAGTGCAACAGGAAGATGAGAAAGAGACGTCCTAACAGTCTTCATGAGTTCCGTATGAAGTTTATAAACGCCATTAACCGTGCACTGTTTCTCCCCACACAGTGTGTTTAGGCTGAGTACAAGAAGCGGGAGGAACAATATCATGGCTAGCGCGCCCACTGGGCCGCCCCACTCATACCCCATCGTTGGAGGGTTAAGTGGAGAGAGCTGTTTGCGCGTCGCGGCCCCGCCACGTGCGTTTGATGTGGTGCGGTGCGGTGTCTTGGAGCGCGACCTTGAGGCCCCTCTAGTGTTCGACGGCATGGTTGGCTTTCCTCTTCTGCGTCCGGCTCTGAGCTGCTTCGCGTTGTCAATGCTCCCGCGTCGTCCGGGCCCGAGGCAAAGCAAAAAAGCAAAACAAAAAAAACGTCATCGGATGCAAAAGAAAAAGAAACAAAGCGACGTCAAAATAATAATGAAAGATGTTGGTCAGTCGGCCGCCGCAACTCGACCGTATCTCCTTCCCCCACAGCTCCTTCCTCGCCTCACTGCGCAGAGACCCTTGCGTCCGACACTATCACCGCGAGCCCGGCAACAACGAGAAGGGCACCTACCGCCCACATCGCAGTTATCTCTTCGTGGAAGACAACAAAGCCAAGAAGGGCACTCACCGCAAAGTTTGTCCCAGTGTTCAATATCTGGCAGACCGGTGTGGGGCCACAAGACAGCGCCTTAAGGTACCAGCGCCACATCTGTGCCGTGAAAAATATATTTGAGGCAAACAACAGTCCCCGAATGCCAAGCAGCGCCACGTGGGCCCACCACGAGTCTGCGTGGTTCAAGTTCGCCCAGACGGAAAATGATGCGACAGCTGTAATTGGTGACTTCCCGCCACTCTCCGTCACGGCAAGTTTTCCCACCACGGCGGACAGTGCCCCAAACATGCCTGCCAGAGATGCGTGAAGGAAAAACGCACGGCTTGCCGTTGACGAAGGTTGGCGTTTCTCCCGGGTGTGCAGAGGACTGCGGCATTCCACTGAGACCTCTCTACCATGCGGTGATGCCGACTTCTCCTGCCCCATGTGGATTCTAACAGCCGTTTCCTACTCAGTCAAAAGATTGGCAGTAAAGAAGAAAGGAACAAAATGGGCATCTGTAAAAACACTACAGAATACGCGCCTGTGGGACACGTTGTGAGGTGCATTCCCACAAAACAGGAAGGGCACAACAATGAAGAGGGAGTTGCAATTTGGCTTGGCACACACAAAGTACCCCAACAAAAAATCTTATTGCCCTGCAACAAATAAAGCGGAAAAGGCAACATCAAACGCAAAAAGAAAAAGAAAAATAGTCATGCAGCACAATTCATTACGACTAAGCTCGTTGGAAATTCACCGGACGGCAGTCCGCAAGGGCCCGTAAAAGCCAGACCCCCTTTCCACGTGGAGGGCGTCAGCAGCAGTAGTAGTAGGAGATTCAAGATTAGAGGACGGTACTACACTCGTATCCCTCCAACGCCACATGTATTTACGCACAAAAATAACAATAATAATAATAATAGTAATAATCGTGGGCGAGAAAGAAATAGTGTGGTTAGCCAAGGCGTACCTTCATCAACGGTCCCCCCCCCCCGTTCGGTTGTGCATTCATGCCACAGGCTTCCACAAGAACAAATATAAAACAATCTTCCCTTACACTATCTATACCTAAGCCTCGCCCTTTTATTTCACCACCACCACCACCACCACCACCACATGTTTTTTTTCTTTTTTTTTGCTTTTCCTTCCTACCTCTCTTTCACAATAAATACACGCAACTTTCCACTTTACCCCTTTTCACCCCTTTTCACCACCAATGCAACACAAAAAGAAGAAGCAACCACAACAGCAACCAAAGTAACTAATAAAAATTAATGTTGAGACAATCGAATGAGTGCATCAATGCAATGGGTTCTCGCCTTTAGCTTCACTGTTTTCTTCTCCCCATTTTTTCTAGTCATCTTCTTTCATTAGATGCATGGCTTATGACACCACGGCCTTCCGCACCTAGGTCATTCCCGTAGACGTATGTGTGTATTATAAGTATACACATGTTCCTCTTTCTCTTCACCTTCCGTGCCCCCTCCCCTCACACGAACACACATAAAGCCATCGCATTCACCTCTCAGCCTACCGGATCAGCGGTACATCATAATGGTAGAGGAGGCAACGGCGAAAAGAGGATGAAAAAAGGATAAAACATAAGCGACGGAACGACTACTGGTCGGACCACCGAGTGTGAGTGGATCCGCGAAGTGTAAAAGTAGAGACGGCGCATGAAAGATGACGTCTCTGTCCTAATGGTGTAGAAGAGCACGACAACATGCAAGTTATATTCTTGGACAATACGTATTCCTTCTGAGGCCGTCTGGCCCGCCTAATGAGGCGGTCCATCTTTTCAGGGGTCCGTCATAATGGAAAGGTAAAAGTCTCTTTTCTCCCCTTACCCTCGGAGACCCAGATAAGTCGTTATAATTTTTTTTACTCCCGTGATGGGAGCAATGCACGCCGTGGCATTGTTGCTTCGCTCGTAAAAGTGGGAACGCACGTCCTCACACGGTGGCCTCCTCGCATCTCCCAATTCGAGGTTTATGGCAATGCCGGTGGAAGAGACTGCGGGCCGAAACAGTTTTGCGAAGCAGGGGGTGGAGGGAGGCGTACCCGCTTGCATATAATCCACGAAAAAGACAGCTGTGGGTTTGGGTGAAAACATCAATCGCACCCCCTCTCACTATCACCCACACACCCCGCCGCTGCAGTCCAAATATCCCGCCATGTCCGTATTCCCATCTTCTGCGGGGGTCACATGAGGCGCACGTTTTAATGCACATACCGCAAATCAGAAGCAAAAAAAAGCGGTTACTAACAATAACGGTATCCCTCCGTCCAATCACTGATATTCGAGTCATTTTGACTTCCTTCTTCATATTCCGTCTTATCTTATGTTTTTCATTTTGCTTTCATACCTCCTCCTCACATCATTGATTTCTGCAAGCACATATAAACATTTCAACTTACCCAAGCGCTACGGTGCCGCCCTTGTCACTTTGGCTCTGCGGCTAGAAGCGGTACACCATGTCTTTTGTGTAACCCATCCTACCGAGGATGCCCTCCACATCTGCCAGGTTGCTCAGCACTGTCCCTGTCGGCTGGTACGCCAGCCCACCACTCATGGCTTTTAGCACTGCCGGTGGCAAACCTGCAAGTTTAGCCATCATTCCATCGGGGCCGCACACAAGCAGAAGATTCTTCAATGACGGCTCCGGCATCGTCTGCCGCAACATTTCTTCTGTGATGTGTCCAATGTAACCTGTGTATGCAGCATCACTGTCTTGCAGTGCATCAACAGTATAGTGCACCTTGAGGCGGTGAGAGTTTTCCCGAGCCAACTTGTCAAGCAGGCCCTTGAGCAGTATTCTGTTCTCAGACCTATTGGCAAACAACAATGAGAGTTGTGTTGTGTCACCAGGAGTATCCAGTGAGGCGTTCAAAAACTGTAGCAGTGGGCATATGCCTGTACCCCCACCAATCATCCCAACTTTTTCCCATGCATTCTTCTTGTATCTTAGCTTGTACTGCACAACGCGGAAGAGGAGGTTGTCGCCGACATTCATTGAAAAAAGAAATTCGGTAAAGCGACCATGCATCTGTTTTCTGACCAATAAGTCAAAGTAGCCCTTGGTTCCATTACGGGTAATGGGAGTGTAGAAACGCATCGGCTGGTCTACAATATTAGCGCCTTGTTTATGGCAGGCCTGAAGCGTACTGCAGGGCACAAGATCAAACTCCATGTCTGGCTTTGGTAGGAGGAAGCGAAAGATGGCGACGTCCTCCGCGAGGTTGATGACCTCACCGAGTACATATGGCCTAAATTTTGTCTCAAACGCGCTTTCTTTTGCACACTGCGCCACACGAGTCGGTGTTGCGGTGTAGGACTGAAGCGCCGCGCCCAGTAAAGCAGCTGCACCAAATGCCAAAAACTTCATTTGTATTATTAATTGACTTTGAAAGATATGCGCTTGTAAAACTCCAAAGGGCACGCTGCTATTTCTTTCTTGATTGCTCCACCTAATTATTCCTTCTTTCCTTCGTTCTCCGAGCGTTCGCAAAACCAGGGAGAACCCAACGACGGCGCAACAAGAATAACAGAAACGCAGCGGAAGCCCAACCAAAAAAAAAACAGCTGGCAGTGGCGAGCGCAAAAGACGAAAGCAGCCACGCAGAGGGGAAGAGACGTGGGAAAGGGCCTGAAGGGAAGTGAACAAGAAGAACAACAACAGCGGCCGCAGAAAAAAAAAAAAAGAGGGGGCACTGCAAGTTCGTTGATTAGCACGTGCCTTTAAGTGTTCCATCCTTGTAGCCGCACCTCTGCTCCTACCATCTTGCTGTGTTTGTTGGTTTGTTTGTTTGTTTCTCTCTTCCTCTCCTTACCTGCTCGCTCTCTCTATCGTTATTTGAATATTCAAAGTTCTGTGGGCGCACGCTTTTTTCACTGGCGCGCCGCACGTCGTCCGCAAAACCCTGACAGTTTGTCATCATCTCCTGTTCCTCATCATACGGTCTCTTTTTCGCTTCCCTCGTCCCCACCGGCAGCAGAGGCCAAAGCTCACTGGCCACACCGGTGCCCCCAACTCCAACTCCCGTCACCCAGTGCAGACTCAAGAATCCGTGCCAGTTCCCTTGATCGGCACATATCCGTGCAAAGGAAAAGGGGGGAGAGAGAGAGAGAAAGAAAGAAAGGGAAAACGTTGTTTATTTTACTCTCCGCGCTTCGTTGCGCTGGATGTCCAAACTTCTCCTCATGCCCAGCAAGTATACACATATCCGGGGCGTAAGGCACAAGTTAAGAGGAGGATACAAAGAGAGGGGATGCAATCAGAACCGTGTGCCATCTTGTTTATGTGGCACCGTTGTGGTTACATGGTGGGCGCTCTTCCCAGAAGCAAATCAAGCTCTGACTCTAATTCTTCTGCCTTCAAGGAGCACTGCCCCAGCGCACTTAGTTGGCAGTCCACAAGCCCTGCCATCCTCTCCAAGTCATCACACTCCCGCAGATGACGGAGGGAACGATTGTGTTGTCCCACACTTTGCGACAGCCGCAGCCTGAATGCTTCTACCTCGTCAAACAGGTTAATAACCGCCGCGTAGGTCGCCTCACGCTGCTCGTCCAACTTTGTAAAATTTGGCTGCGCCTTGGCGTAAACGGGCTGCACAGCATCCTCCACACGCTGCATCATCTCGGCAATAGCCCCCTGTTTGCTCTTCAGCTCCGTCAGCGTTTGCTTCGATGCCTCCGCGGTGGTGATAGCAGCGTCCAAATGGGAAATGTAAGCTAATATCTCATTACCGCGATCAATAATTTGTCGGTCACGGAGAAGCATATGCTGCGATAGTTTCTGAAAGTCACGATAATCCTTCGCAAAGTTCTTATCAACCTCAGCCAAGATGGATGACAGCGTCTTTCCCTTTAGCTCATCTGCAGCAGGCTTGCGTACGGAGACAGCAGCCTCACTACTCAAAGCTGCAGCTGGAGCTGCAGTATTCGCTGCAGAGCCAAAGCCACCAGCTGGAGCTGCAGTGTTCGCTGCAGAGCCAAAGCCACCAGCTGGAGCCGCTGTGGTCGCTGCAGAGCCAAAGCCACCAGCTGGAGCTGCAGTGTTCGCTGCAGAGCCAAACCCACCAGCTGGAGCTGCTGTGTCGCTGCAGAGCCAAAGCCACCAGC